GGTCACACATTGGCAATTAAAAAATATAACATATATTGGTATGATAATGTAAATGGACCATGAGGTAAGTACTGTACAAATTTCAGATAAGTGGAACTGATAGACATATAGATGTATAGTGCATGGATATGTTAGACAATACTAACGATAGTAGGCTAGCTACTGTTTGGAGTGTTTGCAAGCATTAACAGGGCCTTTTGTAAGTATATAACTTGGGGCCCAAAGCCACCCCAGCCCCAATGACGCCTCCAGCACTAGTGTTCAACCATGTTGTCCCCCAGTCAAAGTCTCTTATCTCTAAAATACAAGAAAAACAAAAAATGGAATTTGGAATTTTATGAGAATATATCTACAGTATATAATGATGTGCATCCAAATATCTGTTTAGAAAATGCACGAAATGTGCCTAGGCGTGAAAAATATAAAACCACAGACGCCCCTACTATTACATACAATAGTGTGATCCCTCCCCCATGGAATGTTAGGACTTAGAATGGGCCAAGGTCAACAATATGACATATGTGCATGCAGTGTACAAACTGTATGAAGTAATGAAGGTAATTTCAGGGAGAGATGTGCACCTCCCCTCAAAATTCGACCATGCCCCACGGCCAAATTCCTAAAAAAAGCTCTAGCAAGCAACAAATGCAAATAAACTAACATAGAACATGAACAACTGTAATAAATATTACTTTACTTTGTTATCATGGTTTGGTGAAAAAATGAAAACTACGAATTGAAATCCACACACGCTAATTCAGATACCAGACACGCACCCCTAATAAGACCAATATATTTTATATATATACGGCTGCCATATATAGGCGGCTATATGACGACCCCTGTATTGGCCCCTAAAAATAGCGATTATATGACGGTTCCCTGCTCTCCAGTAACAATATTACAAATCGTGCTTGGACCAATTTTGGAAGCAAAATGCTTCAGACAAGCAGCCTTTACTGTTATATATTCTGTTCTCCATGCTCATATCCTTTTCACCAAACTGCACGAATTCTCGCGTCTCAACTCCGCTGTACTTTTGTGCCTTGGCCGAGACATCTGACTGATCTGAGCTTTGGCGTTGTACAACTATTTCTTCAATGTTTCCCTCTTTCAATCACAAGGAGTCCAACTAAGAGCTGTGTTATGAATATGAATAAAACATATTAATTAAACGTAATATGAATAAAACATCATAACGTAATAAATTTAAATTATTGCACTTACTTATATAAATCATAAGAGCTTTCATTTACAAGGAATAGCTTCAAACAGGGCCCTTATATATGCTCAGAAACATTGATTAGAACGATTGTTCAAATATGGCGAATAAATTGACCAAACGTACGAAAATATTACATGACGTTCCAACGAAAATAACAGGAAGGATTACGGGCGCGAGCGGAAGGCGAGGGTAATAGATATCCAGCCGTTCCGCACGTTGTAACCAATAATTTATTGGCGTTGTAATGCCATTGTATGCAATAAAGTATTGGGTTGTAATGGGTCTACAATTAATCCAAACGTTAATCCTAATGCAAACCCTAATCCTAACCCTAACCCTAACCTCTAACCCCTAACCCCTAACCCCTAACCCCCAACCCCTAACCCCTAACCCCTAGGGCCGGCCGACTACCCCTCCGGGCAAAATACTTAAAACTAAACTTAATAGAGGCAATTTAGTTTTATAAAGAACATTTTAAAACGTTTTGCGAAGTGTTTGCGGTTGAATTTTATCTCAAATTGAAGCTTATATTATACGTATAATCGCATACCTAACATATATGTGTTGGGAAATTGATAATTTTGTAATTAAAAGTGATATTTTTAGGCGATTTTTCATTTGTAAGAATATTCTTAAAAAATTATTGTGTTACCATGACAACTACTTTAGATACTTCATGTTCGGAAAATACAATGGTCTTGTCAGTAAGGCGAGGGTTTCTACATGCATGCATTTTCTAGTATTACGTTTAATTAATATGTTTTATTCATATTCATAACACAGCTCTTAATTGGACTCCCTGTGTTTCGTCTCGAGAATTCGGCCATTTTGAAAACATGTGAGTTAGTGCTTCCACTCTGCTGAAGCAAATATCCTCTTTTCGGACCGCAATGCATATTGGTCTATGGCAGCGATAGGCCAGTGGTGTTTTTAAATTCAATTTACTTTTGCGAAAAAAATTCTTATGGCAGCGATAGGCCATAGGTAATTTTGATTTTGTTTTCATTTGTTTTCAATATCGTTTCATTTTGTTTTTACATTGATTTGTTTTCAAATAAAATTCTTTTTAAAATAAAAAAAAAATAAAAATTTAAAAAAAAAATTAAAATAAAAAAATAGTTTCAGAATAACTCATGGATTATTCTATTAAAGAATTAAATTAATTTAAATATTAAGAAATAGAAAACATTTTCTGTGTTTCTATAGAGTAATATAGAAACACGCGTGGAAGTTTGGGACAAATGAGAAATTACGTGGGGACACGAGCACGAAGTGTGAGTGTTTTCACGCAATTTCGTGTTTCTCCCAAACTTCCACAAGTGTTTCTATAAACTATACAGGGTGTATAAAAAAAACTGAACAGATTTGAAATTGCTCCCAATTTCGTAAAACACCTATTTGTATCCGGTTTTTTTATATATATAGCTTCTTTGGGTACTTATAATGTAGAATAATGAAAAAAAATTCTCGAACTCAAATTTTGTGAACCAGGGGTGTGTGTCTAATTAATGCCTTTGCCTAATTTGCATATGTCAGCAATATGCAAATTAGGTAAAGGCATTAATTAAGCATGCGAAAGGCTGATTTTGACTAAACCAAACTGTCTGAAATTTGGTACAGCAATTAAAAACTCGACAAATTTTTCATCTATTAATACAAAATATGATTATTACTTTTAAATTTTGTGCGCGAGCCATTTTTAGTTTGTTGAAAAACACACACCCCCTGGTTCACAAAATTTGAGTTCGAGAAATTTTTTCATTATTCTACATTATAAGTAGCCAAAGAAGCTATATATATAAAAAAACTGGATACAAATAGGTGTTTTGCGAAATTGAGAGCAATTTCAAATCTGTTCAGTTTTTGTTATACACCCTGTATAGGAATACGGAAGTTTTAAATTTCCTCCATTTAACAGCCTTTAGAAGGCAATAAAAATGATAAATTTATTGATTTTAATTACATTCATTAAAATATTCATTTTATCTATCATGCATCATTTTATCTATCATTGATCCTGTCGTTATTTTACTATGCAATTGAAGTATGGGGATCGGCTTTGCAAGCGAAATACATTGATAAATTCAACAAGTTTCTCAATCGTGCATTCCGATATGGCTACACTCAGAATAAATATTCAATGGCCAAGATGATTGAGGAGAGGGATCGATTATTGTTCAATAAGGTCATGCACAATCCTGAACATTGCCTATATGAGTTGTTACCGGAAGAACGTCGACGACCTTTAAGAGAACGCGATGATCAATTTATGTCACCAAAAGTTTACACAGAACGTTTTAAACAATCGTTTTTGAACAAGTGTCTTTTTAATGACTTTTAGTTTTAAAATTTTGTTTTTGCGATATATAATATTAACTATAATGCATGTAAATAATTTAATTTAGAAATAATACTAAATTTGTAAATAATCTAATTAACATTTCTCATATGCACTGAACGTTTTAATAATTACTATATATATACATTTATATATATCTTATATGCACTGTAAAGATGCACGTTTGTTGCAACTTCAATTTTTAATAAAGACGTATGATAATAATAATAATAATAATGCATGTTTCGCTCGCTACTCTGGTTTAACTAAATGATTACAAAGCCCAGTCGAATTGTAATCCAGACCCAACGTTTCGACACTCCAGTCTAGTGTCTTCCTCAGGGGTGATCTAAAGTTGCATTCGTGGCTTCTTAAATACTCAAGGGATGACGTTACCTACCAATGGGATGCATATATTCCCCTGGCAAATAGACACCGTCATCCTAGGGATTTTTCTTAAGAAAATCGTGAGATTTTTCTTAAAATAAGAAAACTCAATTTCTTATTTTAAGAATATTGTCTCTTTAAAATTCTTAGTTTAAGAAAGAAGTATATTATTTTATTTTATAAGGACTAATAAGTTTTATTAGTATAAGCATTCGTGCGTTCTGATTGGCTAGTTGACTAGTAAATCTGACGCCGCATTATTTACTACCAGCAGACTAGTAAATAATGCTTTTCCAAAAGAATGATTGGCATATTTGGTTTCAAAATCGACAAAATATTGAAAAAATCCTAGGGATTTTTCATAATCTTATTATTTATTATTATTAATATTAAACGCGTTCCAAAGAACTTTGAACAATTCCAAACTTCGAATTTTGACTAAAATTTGCAATATTTTGCAGAAATTTCTCATTTTTCTGCCAAAATACGGTATAATTGCCAAATCATCGTGATTTTGCCCCAAAATTTCAAAGAAAAAGGCGATTTCCTGCGAATTTGTGTCGAAATTGTATTGATACATAATCTTGATTTTTGCTGACAGCAATTCTTATGTCTTACGTTTTTGTTATTTTCCTATGGTTTGTGCCCATTGTGTTCAGTCTACCTCCAAAATCAATCAAAATCGAAAAAATTGGTAGAAAAAACCCTATTTTTAATGTTTTTAGCTATTTTTCGCCGAATATTCTGATAAGTGTTCATTTTACCGCACAATACCAAACTTTTAAACAAAAAAATGAACTGTCTGCTAAAATGCATGTGCAATAGAATAACTGGTGTAATATATAGGAGTGTCTGAATTTCAGACATTCCTATCGCTGGAGATTGAATAAACGATCATGCAAGATATAGTTATAGGAGTATCTGAAATTCAGACACCCATATATATGGGTGTCTGAAATTCAAACACCCTTATATTCTATATTGCGAGTTATATGGATGTCTGAATTTCAGACTCACTTATGTTCTATTGCCAGTTATATGGGTGTATGAATTTCAGACACCCTTATATTCTATTGCGAGCTGTTCGGGATAGCTCGCAATAGATTACAAGGGTATCTGAAATTCAGACATCCATTATATGTAACTGGAAATTGTTTACCACGCGCTATATAGCCTTCTCCGCAGACATCTCGTAGTTCACATACTTTACAATTATTTTGCCTGCAAGAAAATTTTGCCCGCCAATCTAAAGGCGATGCCTGCGGACGAGGATTCACGCGCTGCTATATTTACTTATGCTACTTATCTGGCCTAGAAAAAAAAGTTAGCAGCTACGACTGGACATTTAACATATTCCATCAAATATGAGCTGTATGAACCTCTTATAATAAACATAGAGACTCTCCAAGTGTAAAATATGACTGAGAGTACAGTGAGTCAAGAAACTAATGAAACGACAATAATGTTTTGCGGTTAATTGGTCAAAGCACATATCAGATGCAATTGTGATGAGTTGGTCTTCATGCCAAATGTCCCAAATCCTTGGAGCGCGGATGCGCATGATCAACCGATTTCTGATCAGCAAATTCAAACAGAATAACGTTTATGAATACTTGCAATGCGAACTACTCTATGGCGAGTGTATGACAAACATCTGAAATGATAGCGAAATACAAGCCGAGCTCTATGAATACCACATAAACTGTCTGCCCCATGATAGCGTATTTTACTTAGTTTGAGGCAGTAGTTTTCAAAGCTTTGACTTGTCTCCAGCTTTGGATTATGGAAAACATATATAGCTTCATCAGTTTCGACTTAGTATAGCGAACGACAAGACGATATAAACAAATTGTAGAACATTCGTTTGGCGTTATGGTAAATAAACTGAAATATAATGCCGCGCTACATGTGAGGTCCTGTTAGGGTTTTAGGAGTATGGATTATTTGGCATTTTTGGGCAGGATTATGAATTATTGCTGGTTAAAAAAAGATTATGGATTATTTGGATAGGATTTTAGGATTATTGATCTGCAAAGATCATCTATTTTTGCTATTGAAAATAAAAATAAGAGATACAATTTGCAGTTTGTAAGAGGTCATAAGATGCCAGTCAATATCTATATCTTCATTTTCTGGAGACAACATTAAATTAAATTAAAAGGTGCTGAAAAATTTTCATTATTGACCATTTCGCACATTTGAGATGGAACACACGCGAACTTCGCGCAAACACGTACACACGTAAAAATCTCACCGTTTGTCAACAAGATGTGTTTGCAAAAGGCTTGTAGCAAGCTTTTCTACAAGTTGTAACACTGTTGTTATTTTATCAAGTTGCTACAAGGTTGTCACCAGTGGCGTGCTGGATACTATTTTTCTGGGGGGGGGAGTGGGCTATCAACTATTATGCACCCGTATATATGTATGTAAACTTTATTTAAAGACGTTAGCCTCGTCAACGATTTGTTGATTTTCACGAGGGACGTCTGTTACTATCAAAAATTACAAATATGATATAGGAAAGAATAAAGAATTATATACAACTATTTACAATACAAGAATTAAGTTCCAAACGGTGTGACCCATATTTCTAAAGCATGCATAGAGAATAAATTGATTGCGCTAGAGAATAAATTGATTGCGCTATATATTGCAACGCTTGATAAACGAGGGCCGAAGGCACGAGCTGCTAGCGCAGCAGGTGCGAGGTTTGTCTATAGGGGGGTCCAGGGGCATGCCTCCTCGGAAAATGTTGAATTTAGGGTCTCTGAAATGCCATTTCCTGGACTTTGGGGGGAAGGTTTGACAGAAATCTGATGGTCAGGAAACGGCATTCTAGCACGTGTTGAAATTCGCAATTTGGTTAGAATTTAGCAGAAGTACTTAATAAATTGGGCAATGCTAACTAATTCCAGCGATTAATCTACTCCCAATTCTATTCTCTACTGATCTTGTGATCTGAATACAATTAACACTTTCAGCTCTTTTATACAATAACACAAGGACCCCACGCATATGCATTTTAAGGTTACCTTCCTTGGTTGCCAAAAGGATGCGTTTCAGCATTATCTTATTACTTACATTAATAATAATAATAATAATAATGATGATATTTATATAGCGCCTTGCACAAACAACTAAATTGTGTACACAACTTTACATTATCATAACTATCTAATTTGCGCCGCTCTCGTGATTCGTGAAGCAAATAAAGGGCATAATAGAAGGGCATAATACCAGCAAAAAAGGGCATAATTCCCATGATCGCTTTGAAACCTGACCAATATTCCGGTAATGAGACATTGCGTGTGATCACTGATCATGTTTCTATATGAACGATTTTGTGTGGGCCGTGAAGTAGTAAATTAGCAAATACGGTTTGACAAAATAGTCTGTAATTTAATATATCGCTTTGTCGTCTATGCGCTTAGTCTGTTTGTAAGCCTATAAACACATCTTTTCTTGGTGGAAATAGCTATATTTTTTCAAATGTGTTTCCCACCCACTTTCAAAATTCCGCGCGGGATCGGCGCCCCCTCTTCATTTTTGCGCCGCCACTTCATTTTTGTCACTCACAACTTGTTGACAAATTGTTGATATCAAGTTCTTGGAACAACTTGTAACAAGTCTGTTGAGCTCAGCAACCTTGTGGTAAGTTGTCAACAAGCCGTTGACAGCTTGTCAACAAGCTGGGAACAAGCAGTGTGAACACATCCTGTTGACAAGTTGTTGGAACAGCATTGCTACTTAAGTCTGCTGCAGGTTTGTTACAAATTGTGTATTTTGACGTGTGTATGAGACATGCATGAATCACACGCATGAATCGCTCGATTGTCACTTGATCTCACGTGGAATAATTTGACTGTTCACATTTCTTAAATTATTACAGGGATGTTTTTGTTTATAGAAATGGGATGCGGATTATTTTTAAATTTTTGCTAGGATTATGGATTCTGCCCCCACCCCGCCACCCTAACAGGGCCCTCTGAAGTCTGAAGTCCGAAGTCTGAAGTCCCTTCACGGCTTTCGCATGATAGGGTGAGCTTGATTCATATTCTTAATTTGAATTCTGAGTTCCCGTGCGCGTGTGTTCATATTCCAAAGTCTAATCCGGCAGAATAACAGAACTAGACGTGTAGGAATTGATTCAATACAGTATGCCGACAGACGATGGTATATCCTAGCAACATAGCGCGAACAACTATAGTTACCTCCGCCAGGAGGTTATGTAATCATCTGGGTTTGTTACCTCCGCCAGGAGGTTATGTAATCATCTGGGTTTGTATGTGTGTGTGTGTGTGTGTATGTGTGTGTGTATGTGTGCGTGTGTGTATGTGTGTGTGTGTGTATGTGTGTGTTTGTCTGTGAGCACGATAACTCAAGAAATACCAAACATATCCGTACGAAATTTTTGAATGCATTTCCCATCGGCTAAGGAAGAACTGATTAAAATTTGGTTGAATTTGGTTAAAAATTGAACGAGAAATGAACAAAATTTTGTCTTGCTTTTCCCGGTCAATTAACAAAATATATTACTGAATGCGTAATTAGGACATGTATAATTTATGCACTCAGTGCTAAGACAGTGATGAGATGATAAACCTCATTAAGCTTCGGCCTTCATTATCTATTGTCTTAGTTGCATTTCACGCGACCGAAAATCAATGTCTAAAACAAGGCTTACGGAGATACGCATTATTACGTTCAGCAAAGTGCCAGTCCATTCAAATTCTAACAACATTAGATTACTTCAATACAGGGTGTATAAAAAGAACGCAACCTCGGAATTTCCCACGAAATCGACATTGTTTTAAAGACAAAAGATTTTAGCTGCCTGGGAATTTAAAATAGCACAACTGTGAAAATTACTGCACGCGCGAGTGCATAAAGCAAAATTCATGCATTTATTTAATGACACTTAATAAGTTTTTATTTTACAAGTACTGTACAGCACAACAACAGTAATATGTTCTATTAGCAATTCGATTTCAATTCGCGGGGGCCTGAAATCTTTTATGCGTAAGAATTGTAAAGTGGATTTCTTAGGAAATTCCAAGGTTGCCTTTCACTTCCGAGTAACGGGCGGAGGTATGCA